ACCTTCTTGGGGTTCCAAGATCCTTTGGGTTTCCCTTTGAATTTGCCCTGAGTCACGGCCAGAGCCTCTCCAGGAGCAGCTGGCTCGGCCTTCCGCTTCTGCTTCCGATTGGAGTTTCCTTTTTCCGACTGACTCGGCTTATACTTGCCACTTCGGAGCCTGTCCTCTTCTTCACCGTTAGCGTATTTGGTGGCAATCTCCATCATTCGACTCAGGGTCATATCCCCGGTTCGACCAAACTTCAGGCTCAACTCTCTGTTCTTGACACCATCCTTGAAGGCACATACCGCTTGATGGTCAGACACATTCTCCACGGTATGATGCAAAGTGATCGATCTCTGGATGTAATCTCTCAGTGTTTCATTCGACTTTTGTACGCAGACTTGCAGTTCTGTCAATCCAGTCGGTCGCTTGCAAGTTCCCTCGAACGTCCTAACAAACACTCGGGAAAGATCTTCCCAAGTGTAAATGCTGCTAGGATCTAACTGATTCAACCACGCCCTGGCTGAACCCTCTAACATGAGTGGTAAATGCTTCATGGCCACCTCATCATTACCGCCGTCAATCTGTACTGCCACTCGGTAGTCTTCAAGCCAGGTTTCAGGCTTGGACTCACCGGTGAACTTACTTACCCCAGTCGCCAACCTGAAGTTGGGGGGTATCACTGCGGCTTTGATGGCTCTGCTAAAGCATTCTGGACCTGAAACATGGACTCGGCTGCTAGTGGGCGCATCTCTGTCATGGCCACCTCTATGAGCTCTGTTCCGATCGACCAAACCTTGCACGATGATGGATCTTGCGTCAAAGCCTAGTTCCCTGGGGTCGACCGGAGCACTCCGCCCAACACTGAGCTGGCGCCTGTCATCTTGCTGCCGATGGGCGTTAGACCCACCTCTCAGGGGAGGAGTGGACACTCGACGCCTATCATCACGATCAAATCGGTCATCATACTGGCCTCGCCGGCCTTCACGTCCCTCACGCCTCGGAGGCGATCTTGGGCTATGAGTCGACTGAACTGTATTCGCAGCGATGGATCGACTGTGAATCCTGTTGCGCGACTATGACACAGCTGAATTCTGATCTCCTGCAGCTCGGAGCAAATCCCTAATCTGCATCAAGCCTCTGCCAGCCTCCGACTGAGAGGGCTGAATTGACTCTGCTATACGGGCTGCAGCTGCTAAATTCTGAATTGGGGTTCGATATACCTGAGTCGGTTGCGGAAAGAGCTGACGTCGACTGGAGTCGGGTACTCGTTGCCGCGCACGCTCATCGAGTGCTCGCTGGAGGTTCTCTAGTCGAGTGCGTTCAGCCAAGTTGGCCAAACGCGCCTCTTCCAAGGCACGAGCCTCGGGAGTTTCCCCTGTGATAGGAGTATGCAGGGCATCCATGTTCCGGCGGCGAAGATCTTCTCTTTGCTGAGAAGTGAGTGGCTCGGGTTGATATTCCTCGTGGGCCTGAGCGGGGTCGCCTCCATCGTCCATCCCGTCGATGCGGGGGAAGCCGGGAGGGCTACGAGGCCCATTGACCATCAGGACCTCCGCCGCTGGATCACTGCTGTCGCACTCGGATGCAGTCTCTATGGAGCCAGTCGACAGATCGAACAGGCCGTAGAGAGATTCGTCGGGCTCAATTGCCACGACTTGGGTGGTGGCCGATTGGCGAGCTACTGCGTGTCTCACCCACCGCTGGAGCCTCGACCGACCGGAGCGCTTGCGCTGGCGGGAGACAGGGGGGAGAACGACACAGGAGTCGACCGGTACGGAGTCGACGGCTGCCGCAGCAAGACGCCGCGGACACACGCCCGAAAATGCGTCGCACCACGGACGGGGAGCGCGTCGATGTCGAGTGGTGCCTCCTGGAGCCAAGCGGAGTCGTCGGCAATGAAAGCGAGCGCACCGAGACGGATCTCGCGGCCCTCGACCAGAACTCCGCCAGAAACTATGATGAAGGCAATCGGACAAATTGCAACTTCTCCAAAAAGTCGCTAAGACACCTACCCCACGGTGGGCGCCAACTGTCGTGGTTCTAAGTCTGACAGTAGAATGGGGGGTAGGTATGGAGAGGCAAGATCCTAGCTATGGAGTAGTTGTATACGCAAGGGATTTACGAGTTCAGGCCCTTCTCGGAGGAAGTAACAGCCCTACGTCTCGGAGCCCGGAGGCGATCGACTGAATTATGTGCGTATGAGTTACAGGGGTGCGAACCCTTTACACTGAGGAGGGGGGTGGCTTATATAGAGTTCGCCAGACCCCTCCGGCCCTCAGTTATGCAGGGTTTAAAGTACATTAAGACAGGAAGTTACTGGTAACGCCCACATAAAGTGCCATGAAGAATATTAAAGCTACTTAATGACATGCCATTGCGTGCTGAGTGACTTTAGGTCTCCTGGTTGTCGAGTGGTTAGCTTCATGGTCGAGTGGCTATCTTCATCGTCGAGTGTCCTTGAGTTCGTCGAGTGGAGTCCCTCTTGGTCGATTGGAAGGTAGCTTCTTCTAAAGATGTCCTTGGGTAGGGTATCCTAGATAGGTTCATGACCCTACCTTAGGTACATGACTTCATCACCGGTCTCACCGCTTGGATCTCATTCCAAAACGCCGAGCCATTGGTTTTTGCCTTGAATAAATTTCCATCCGGGAAGTATTTCGCCCAGAGGATGTTTGCCCAGAGTCCCGACTCATTTTGGGCAAGGCGCCACCACCAGCTGCGTGCGTTTCTTTGCGAGCGTATTTGTCGCGAAGATATATAGTTTGTCCTCTTTCTCTTTATTAGAAGGAAAAAAGAATCAGGTTGATCAAAACAGTACAACATCACAAAACCCCATCCTGAGATGGGGGAGAAACGGACCAAAGCCACCGCACTCAAGAACACATGGAAGCAGCTGATCTCACACGTAGCAGAGCAGACCGGCCTAACAGACTTACCGTCCAGCAGCCGAACTCATGTGAGGGGTGCCGTTTCCAGCGTAACAGCCCCCACCCGTCGGTCCGGGTGCGTTCGTTAGCCCGGAAAACAGCAGCACGCGAGGCGTCGCGACCAAATCACGGTCAGCGTATTAAAACTGGCGCGCGATGGCCACATGGGAGAGAACGTGACAGTGCCGTCTAGCCTCGCCACTAGTAGCGGCTTGTTTCTCTCCTCAGATACTCCACCTCCCCGCTCAAAATATAGTGGAGTATTTTTGTATCAGAGGATAATGCCGAGTCTAATGCATAATAATCTGGGCGCACCAATCAACCAAGACAGACACCGTCGATCTCACCTCACATATGAAATATTACCTTCTCCATGTACGTAGTACTACTACTCTACTTGTTGTGGCCTTGCCGTGCTGGGCCCAGGCTGTGCAGAAGAGGAGGAACACTTTGACATGACAAATGATCCGATCCGATCAGATCAGATCTGAGGAAGGAAGAAGAGCTACTCTAATTGCGGTCCATCTGGCCGGAGAGAGTGTCGTTGGGTTTAGTTTAAGTATACTCATCACGTAGCCTGTGGCCAATGGGGCAGGTGCTTGCTTTGCTGGCCTAGGTGTCGGTGTTGGATCCCCCACCTAATTTAAGTTGATCCTTACAAGCAACAGCCAGCCTGTTTGGGTTTCTTCTCTCCTCTTCCGCTCCTCCATCTCCATGCGTGCGTGCATGGATTCATCGGTGGCTTGCATCCTTCTCCCTGCCTAGCTTGTCCCTTTTTCTAAGCCTCCATACACGCCATGGACACATGGGATTATTCCGGGTTTTCATCCCTCAATCATCACACGGAACACACACACGGTATACTTGGATATACGGAACAGCTAGCTAGCTTAGCCACACGATCCATGTGTGTTCTTCAAGTTGAAGGGATCTACCGCATGGCTGGACGGTAGATTTTTCGTAGTCTTAAGAGCCACAGCTAAGGGCGAGAAACTTATTAACAACTCTCACCCTCTCGATACAAAAGATGACCACAAGTGTAGTTAACTTCATAACGTCCCCATCAGAAATAATAATAACACGTACTTCAAAATGTACTGGTAGTGCTAAATTAGATACTAGTACGATGTTTAACTTAACAGGGAAAATTTTAGAACACTGCTATTTCTAGGAACTTTTTGGATCAACCTATTTCTATGAATTATGGCAAGTCAAGATCTAACTACCGCTTTTCCTTGAAAAAAAAAAGATCTAACTACTACTCATATAGCACAATCAGCATTGGAAGCGGTAAACTTTTGGCACATGAGTGTTATGATTGACGCCAGTGGATAAGGATCTACAATAATCAAACCCTCTGGCGGCAGTACTTACGCAGGACACCAATAAATAAACTCTGCGGCCTGATCCCAAGCAGGATCACTTTCAAAACTAAGGACAATAATTATATGATCGCAATAACAAAGATGCACATGCCAGAGACATAATTTAAGGGGTGCAATGGGTATGCATAAAAAATTCCTTTAATATTGTTAGTTGATCAAGTACAATGTTGAGGGGATCAAAATAGCTACAAGATTGGTGAAGGGAAAATAGTACAACTAAGTAGTAACAGAAGAAGAAAAATAGGAAAAGGGGAGCACAGATCCTCCCTCCTTATCCGTCCACCTTTCTCATCCTCTTAACAAAGAATGAATTGAACTGAACAAAAGAATCTGAAGCTTCTCTCTTCTTTTTTAGCACAATTGCAGAGAATTGTGAGTTAGTAGTAGTCACTGCAGATCTCAGTTCATGGAATGAATCATCTTCTTCTTCCATCATCATCATCATGTACAATTTGCCAAAGAAATACCCTTTCCTTTGGTTAAATTCACAAGGAGAGAGAACCCTGGCTTAAAAGAATAGTTGGTGAGTAGATATTACAACAATTTTCGGTCGGTCAATACTTCTTGTACCTTTTTTTTATGTAGTATATATTTTTCTACTATCTTCCTTAACCTCCTTTGAATGGGCTGACTGGCTGACTTACTGACTTTATACAAAAGCTGGAATGGTTTCTTAAGAGACCATTTGCTGAGATGGGAGTTATTAGGTGAGCAGGCGAGCCTCAGCCAGTGGGGGCGTCTTAGGCTGGAGCTTGGCCTGCTGCTGGGACCAATAGGACTGGGCCGCAAGGACCCGGTCGAGCAGATCCTGTGGCACCGGCTCACCGCGCCGCTGCTGGGGCGAGATGCTCGCCGTGTGCACCAGCGTCTTCCATTTGTCCTGTTGACATGATGAGAATTTTGACACGGTTAGAACATGCCAGTTCAAACTTGACCATCTTCATTCATCAAATTTGACCAAAGAATGGATTCTAGTCAAGTTGCCTACAGGTGCTGAGAAGCCAAGAAGCTTCCGCTTTAGTAAACGAACCAAAGGCTATCTCAACCTTCGATGAGACTTTTTCTAAAGTCCCAACGGAGTTAGTTGACGTGCAAGAGTAGGTTGCTTTTATTTCTAGGTGAACCATTCTGCTACTACTGCTGCCCACTTGACCCTTCCAAACAACAAAGTTGATGCGTGAGGACAGCACTAACTGAATCATAAGGATGGACACAAGGTTGGTTTTCCAGAAAGATAGAGCCTAACTACAATCTTCTAGTACTAACAGAAAAGCAGTACGGTTAGACTGTCCTTCATGGTAAGGAACCTAAAACCCACAAGCACCAAACTGTTTGTGAATCTGCCAACTTGCCCAAACCCCGAAATTAGCTGTTGCCACAGGAGTAAAATAGTCGAGCCAAACATAATAAAATTTTAACAATGGGTGACAGCTATGTGCTTATTTGATCTAATTTGACAGGAAGACTTACAAAGTCAAAGTAAAGTATTTGACAGCAATTACCTTAAGATCAACATAGGTCCGATGCTTGGCATTATCAAAAGCACGAAGTTTAACATCTCGCCATCTGCATGAAATCACACAATTAGTCAGAAACAAAATAGAGAGATTTTCAGTGCCAGGTTGAATGAGGAAATAAGGTGTGTACCTTCCAGTTCCAAGCTTTTCGACTGCAAGCACAAGTGCTTCCACTTCAGCAACAGAGAACGGACGTCTGATTCGACGCTGCCCCTGTTCCGATGATCTCTTTGCCTTGTTTGCTGGAACTATCGCCCCTGCGCTGGAATCTACAGGTGTAACTGGAACAATAGCTCGCGAGTTTGCTGAAGCTTTCTCAGGTGAGGAGATGCCCCCAGGAGAGTGCACCGAATCATGATCATTTCCCTGGTAATTAGCTGTCAAGGGTGTCAATGCAAGCTCCTGTGAGGCATCGACTTCGCCGTGCTTCGAGGATGAGTCAGCAGGTGCGATCCTGCATTCAATAAAGCGCACCAATAAGACTCAGGTTACAAATGTTGAAGGTTTATATCAAATTATAGAAAATCAACTATTATTGTTTTAGAGCATAAGTCCATACCTTGCTAGGGGTTCAGTGGTTTCAACAGTTTCTAGGAATTCGATATCTTCAGGAGCTGCAAGTTGTGATGAATGCCGTGTACAGTTGGGTTCCAGTGAAAAGCCTATGTTATCCAGCATATCATCATGATCAATCCCAGCTTGCATTAAGGTTTTGCTATCATCCCTGATTTTCTTTCCATGGTGAAGAACACCCACACGCAGACCACCTCCAAGCATGGCATTTACTGCCTCCAGAACAGTTTTCTGCATCGAAAGTACACATTAAACCACACGAATAATCATTGAGGGGGAAAAGGAAATCCTTCCAGCGTCTATTTATGTGCATGAACAAGTAAAAAAAACAAGAGCAAAATGTCTGGAAATACCTTCAGTGATCCAACAGAAGCAGTTTCTGGGATCTCAATTAGAAGTTCAGGAACCTTGAAAGATTTGATCTTAAGTTTCACTGGAAAAAAATAAGGATATTGTTTAACTAATAATTAAAGATACCCCAAAAAAGGTTGAAGGTACTATACATACCATGGCAATCGTTTGATTTACAAGATCCATGGAATGGCATTGAGTTGCTGCCCTTATTTGCTGCAGAAGAAATATTGCGCCGAAATAAGTTACAAGACAAGAGAGAAATAAAATTGAAGAGGAACGCACAGGTGCAATCAAAACAAACCTTCCAAGGAAGCAGCATGTGGTTCTCTTGCATTAACCTTTGTGGTTCTCTTTGCATTTGATTTTGCAAATTCTTCAGATACTAGAGTTGAATGACGATCCAACATCTTCCTTCGCTTAAATGTACTCCTTTGGGTCCTTTGCCGCGTATAATACATTTTCTTGTTTCGGAAAGAAGGCTTCCGGTCAGCATCTGGCAGGAAAAAAGAATTCAAGTGAGATTAAGCTGGTTTAAACATGTATGTCATCAATGAAGTGCTACTTGAAAGGAAAAGTATAGTGAGATAACCCAATGCTCACCACTATAGGAAAGATCTCCTTTGTGCATTCTGGCAGGAGCAACTTTCCTGTACTTACAGGCGAGGAACTTCTTCACCCTACTTTGGTCAGCTGTACAATTGGGCCTCAAGCCCCTGTTAGTGGCGGTGCTCGAATGCGTGCACCCGGAAGATTTATCATCATCATCATCATCATCATTCTCTCTATCTACAGAATACTCTGCTCCTCCTTTCGGACCCCTCGGAAAAGAGACGGACTTGTGGATTTTGCCACCATATAATGGCATCTCGCCGGTGCTGTCAGAGCTGACCAACGGAGGCGGCTTCACATCGACATCCATGGGGTCGAGAATATTGTACATGTCGGGGGCGTTCTTGTTGTAGGCTGCTGCGGCCAATGCCATCACATTTGCCGCTGCATCCCCGGTGAAGGCCCCTGACTCCACGGATTCAGGCGACCACCTGTCCGCGATCGCCCCGAAATTACTACCCAAGTCAGCCTTGGTACAACTTATCATCGAGGGTTCCTTGTCCACAGCCTCAGACTTTGCCTTTGGAACCTCATTCAGATCCTCTCCTTTCCGAGAATGGTGATCCGCCAGTCTCTGAGACGCAATGTGGGAGATCAACGCGCTCTCATTGCAGCTATCCTGGTCCATCACATCATTCTTGAGGTGCTTCCCCTCCTCGTCGCACTGCTCTTGCTTCACGCAGACATCCTTGGCAGAAGCAGCGAGGACCGGGGAGCCGGCGCTCATGTTCCCCAGCGAGCCCTCGCCCTCATCGAGCAGCTTGCCGGCCACCGTCGCGAGAAGGTCAAACGCGCACATCGCCTGGCCCTGGCTCTCCTTCTTCCTAACCGATCTCTTGCCCTGCACATTTCAAGAAACAAGAAGAGACGCCATCGCTGTCAGGCTCGCCAACCGGAGCAGCAGGACCAAATTTAGACGCTGAAAGGCGCATACTGCATACCCTCGCGGATTTCGGGACGCGCGGCATCTCCGCGACGTGGCTTCCGCCGCACGACTCCATCTCCGACGACGTCCTCTTCTGGAACACCATTCTTCTTGCGCCTCGTTTCGGTTGCTTGTAATTTACAGAGTTAACAACCGGTGGTTCCGCTGTTCATGGCTTGTCCCAGAACACAGATCTGCAAATAAATTATTAAAATCCCGTTAGCAATTATTAAAAAAAAGATACGTACTCCGGTTGCTATAGTACAAAAAGGAAAGATCATTCGTTGGGATCTCCGCAAGAAGTCAGGATAAATCTCGGATAAACCCTTGATTAATTAAACAGGGGATGATCATAGTTAGCAGTGCAATTAATTACAAAAAAAATTGGAGTCCCAAAACCCCAGGAGGATAGGCCCGGGCGTGGAGCGTCCAAAATGATGAGAATTTTTTAAACCAACTGCGCTCCAAACCCAATTGGTTTCATCAAAAGAACACAGGAAATGGAGAGAATCCGTACTTGCTCTCGTGATCCAAATTACTAAGCGAAGAGAACAATCTTTCGGTTGAAATGGTTTCGCCGCCGTATTAAATGCACCCAAGAAAATAAATTCGCCGGGCAAACCAGCACGCCAAGCGATCAAAGAAAAAAGCCTTTAAAAAAACTCACATGCATCGGAATCCGTGAAGATTAAGCAACTGCCAAAAGGAAAGCGGACGCGTGGGTTAAAAAAAAAGAGGGAAAGAAGAGCAAGCCCAGTGGCTGAAAACCAAGCAAGAATTCTCAAATCGCTGGGCGCCAGATCGGATCTTGGCGCCTAATTCCCGCAATTCGACGCGAATTTCGTCCAAAATGGGGCGACCTGAGACGAACAGCTCGAAATGCGCGACCCCCCGCTCGAAATTGCCCGAATTCTCCGCATGGGCGGCGTCAGAACCCGCCGATCACACCGGAGCAACAGAGTTCCAGGCAGGAATGGACCCGAGACCTCCCGGGAGGCCGGGAGAAAACCCCAGGCAGCCCCAGTTCCCCGAATTCCCCAAACCCAAGCAAAGAAGGCGAGGCCCAGGCGCAGAGGCTCGCAATTCAGCACAATTCGACGGAGTCCCGTCGCCGGACTCACCTCAGAGGCAGAGATCCACGGCGGCCTCCGATCGCCCCCACCAACCGGCCCCGGATCACCGTACGGGGCTCCGCGGCGGAACCCTCCGGCGAGATCCCGCACCCAACAGGCAGGCAGGCAGGCAGGCAACCGCGCGCTGGATTATTCCTCCCTCGCTCGCTTCCCTTGGCTCCCCTTCCCTCCCCTGGCCTTCGCTTCTCTCTTGTGGCTTGTCCCTTTTTATTTATTTTCCCTCTCTCCTCCTCCTCCTCCTCCGGTTCTCCCCTCCCCTGTTGCGGATGTGTGGTGTGGTTTGGCCAAAACCCCTCAAAACCAACCCCCTTCTTAAACCCCCCCAACCCCCCGCCACCTGCTGCTCCCTGTTAAATCCCCACGCGCCCACCGCCTGCACCCAGTCGCCCACACGCCAACGACCGCTTCCTCCACTCGCCACCGTCCACCTGTTTTCCCATCCCCGATCCAACGAGAGGCAGCATCCTCCCACGCGAGAGAGCGGCCGCGGTTCCTTTTTCCTACATGCGCGAGTGGTTTCCGCAAGCCCGCCGCCCGGCGATCCGGGCCGTCGGTTTCTTGAGGGCTTCCCCCGCCGTTGGATCCCGGTCGGTCCTTGAGTCTCTCGTGGCCACGAACGCGAGGAGTGATTCCTGTTAATCGCTGGGGTTTAGGGAGGAAATTAGCGGGCCGTTTTTAGCAATGGCGAAATGGAAACGTGGGGAAACAATTAGATTAGGGGGTTTCCCCTGGATTAATTTGGGAGGTCTCGGATTTTCTTGTGGCTTTTCTCTTTTTTGTGGGGGTTTTGAGAGGCTGTGCGTGTGGTGCTGGTGGAGGAGAATGTTCAGGGGTGATGCTCGAAAAGGTGCTAAGATTCCGGGGCTTCTTCGGGGCAGGGCAGCAGGGCCGGATAATTTTTAGATAAGAAGTTTGTGGCCTTTGTGGTTTTGGAGGGCGCACAATGCTCAACAAAATAACGCATGCCATTGCAAATTTTAGCATTGTAAATGTACAGTCATCACTAGTAATATTCTCAAGGGCGTTGGCCTAGTTTTTGTAATATATAGACGCGCTTAATGTAATTCACTCATCATGCGGGTCGTTCCCATCATTATAGTAATTTTATGTACATTGTTCATGAAGAAATACTAGTATGTGGGTTTGATTATGCTATGTATGTATAGTGGCCCAACATCAGAAGATGAGTAAATATTTTCTTCTTTTACCAACTATGGCGGAACCAAAATTCATTGAACTAGCCTAATAAAAAAAGTGCAATTAGTTCAAAATAACTTGTACAATTAAAGCTAGTTTAATTACTACGCCGGTTAGAGAAAATAGCTTGTTAGTACTCAATGGCCTTCCAAATGTATCGTTCGTTTCAGAATAAATATGTACTCCTATTTCCTAAAACTAGACCAAGTCCGGAAAAAAAAATCCAGCAACCCTTATATAAGTAAATACGAGTAATACTATTCAGTTGTATAAATGTAAGCTAAAACACTTCCTTTTTAAATCTAGCTTGTTTGCTAAGAAAAAGAAGTGTAAGAAGACATCGATATATTTCTAAAGAGGCACTCTGAGTGCATCATATCTTAAGCTATATCATAAGCATTAAACATGTATTTAGATATAGCTCCTCTATTTTATTTGATTATATCATATTGTTGCATCTAAGAACACTACAACAAAATCAGCCATTGAAGATGGTTTTAGTACATGGGTCGGTGGCGGTTGCCCATTTGGCTTAAAAGCTTATATTAAATACATTAGAAAAGAATAGCTACGCCGTTTAGTGAAAATAGCTTGTTGATATTTAATGGCGTTCCAATGTATAGTTCATGTGAGAATAAATATGTGCTCCTATTTCCTAAAACTAGACCAATCCTAATTCTCTTCTTTTCCTAGAATAAGACTCAGGTTACAAACGTTGAAGGTTTATATAAGTAAATCAGCAATAGATGTTGCATTTAACATGTTTCACGACTACAAAGATGGCTAATACCCAACTGTATAAATGCAAGCCAGAACACTTCAAAAACAATACGGCCATATGGCTAAGAAAAATAAAAAGAACATATAAGACATCGATATGTTCCGAAAAGGGCACTTCCAATGCATCATATCTTAAGTTATATCATATGCATTGAATCTGTAGTCAGATATGGCTCCTCGAATTGGTTGTATAATATTGTCGTATCTAAAAAACCCTCTAATTTAATGTGTTTTGTGAGCGAAAAGGTATGATTTGTCTTGGTTTTGGTGCTAAGAGTTATATCTAGATTAAAATATAATAGCTCTCTCTTTTCTTATTAAATATGGTGCACATCATATTTTGCTTAGTTTTCGTGATAAGATACAGTCTAAGACGAAAAACTCGGACAACCTAACATTGCTCTATATAAGAATTAATTGGTACAGAAACTATCAAGTGTGCTTTGAAATCTTCTCTTTTCAAAATAAAAAGAGTATGCACCCTTATAATAGTCCAATAAAATTCCACTGATAAATTAAAGTCTAATGAAAATCCCAACTCACCGGTTGGGCAACTCAGGCGGCCAGCCGACGTCCTTTTTTTGCTACCAACCGACCACGCTCCTCTCGCCTCGTTCAAGTGAGGTTGTCGGACAAAGCCCGTCTGGCCGACGGCGACAAGGATCCATGGGTGGCTTTGTGAACCCTCCCAAGGGTTGTGGCATCGACAGGTGATACAACTTCAGGTGATACAACTTCATGGGCGACGATGAGAAACAAGGTGGATGGAGCATTGTGGCGGTGATGAGAGGTGATCATGGTTTAGCAATCTGCCAACGGTAGCCTAGGTACGTCTAGTTCTGGCCCCTTGCCACCAAGTGCTACTTGTGAGCTGCGTTGGAATTTCTCCGAAGAGAAGGAATGATACAGTACAGTAAAGATAAGTATTTTCATCGGTTAGAAATCAAGGTTATCAATCCAGTAGGAGAACCACACAACAGCTCGTTAGCGGTACCTACACACAAAATACAAAATTCTTGAACGCAAACAAGGGGTTGTCAATCCCTTGGCGGTTAATTGCAATGATCAAATTTCGTAGTGATACATAGATAAATAAAAACACAAAATAAAATAAAATAAAAGTACATCAATATATTGTTGGATTTTAATATATGATTTAGATAGACCCGGGGCCATAGTGTCCACTAGAGGCTTCTCTCTTGAAGATAGCATACGATGGGTAAACAAATTACTGTTAGGCAATTGATAGGAAAGCGAATAATCATGACGATATCTAAGGCAATGATCATGTATATAGGTATCACATCCGAGACAAGTAGACCGACTCTTGCCTGCATCTACTACTATTACTCCATATATTGACTGCTATCCAGCATGCATCTAGACTATCAAGTTCATAAAGAAAGGAGTGACGCCTTAAGCAAGATGACATGATATAGACAAAGTAAAGTCAATTAATATGAATAAACCTCATCTTTTTATCCTTAATGGCAACGATAGAAATACGTGCCATGTCCCTTTTTGTCACTGGATTGAGCACCGCAAGATCAAACCCATTACAAAGCACCTCTCCCATTGCAAGGAAAATCAATCTAGTTAGCCAATTCAAATCAATAGATCTGAGATAAATACAAAGCTATAATAATCATGCATAAAAGATTTCAGAGAAGACTCAAATAATATTCATAGATAATCTGATCATAAACTCACAATTCATCGGATACCTACAAACACACCGCAAAAAGTGATTACATCAAATAGATCTCCAAGAACATGAAGAAGAACATTGTAAAAGAGAGAGAAGATGACATCTAGCTACTAGTATGGACCCGTAGGTCTGTGGTAAACTACTCACACATCATCGGAGGGGCAACAAGGTTGATGTAGAACCCCTCCATGATTGATTCCCCTGTTGGGGAACGTAGCAGAAATTCAAAATTTTCCTACGTGTCACCAAGATCTATCTATGGAGAGACCAGCAACGAGGGGAAGGAGA